AATTTTGAATGCAGATTTGGCTTCGGCGTACAAGAGGCTTGCGTCGGTATGTTGGATACGAGGCAACTTTCATCCGACTTTTACGGTCGCTTTGGTCAGCTTAGGCTCAATTTTTTTCGCATCTGCTAAATATTCTAATGCTATTAAAGCCTCCAAAACAATATAATAAAAAGAAAAAAATTTTAAATTCTGGAATAAAAGTTGGTTTAATTTGCAAAGAGTTATTCGATTTAGTTAACTTTTCCCATTTTTGCAAAATATTTCACGAAAAATTCTTCCTCGCGATGTATAGAAAATCGACATACTGACCAAATTTTGCTCGTGTTGATTGAAAGACATAATGAGAAAGATCGTCGAATTTTCTATTTTAACAAATCTTTAAAAAATTTCATTTCATTAGAATAGTCTCCTGCGTTCATAGATTTAAAATAAACAAATTAAGGATTAGCCGGAAATTAATTTTCTTGCTAATCACGATCTGGGAAAGTAGCCTTGGATATTTTGCTTTAACTGATATGATCCAAATAAACTCTCGGTTGTACTTCGTAATCAAGAGATAACAAGTTAAAATGAAATGTGATACTTAACTCGTAGGAGAGTAATACTAATAAAAATATATTTCAAGTATACGTATATACCCGTCAATTGATAAGCCTATAGTGTTGCACACGACACATATTACACGCCAATAAATGCTAGGGATGTGAAATCAATGTTATCTCAGATATAGTTTAGTGAAATTGAATATAGAAAAATATTTGTAATAGATGGCAAAACTGAACATTATATACGATTGGCAATAATCTTTCCCTGATTACACTTAATTTGTAGAGATAAAGTCATGATTTTTGCATGGACGTCATCTTGGTAAATCGACAAATAGCATGAACAGATTTTATTTATTGTTCCACGGCCAACCCAAATACGTTTAATATATTAATAAAAAGGGTATATTGCGACAGAGCCTAAACAGCCGTGTATACCGTATATAGCTGCTATTTATTAAGATTAAGAATATCTTTTGAATGTATTAGCTGAACCCAAAACTGAGAAAATATAATGCACCCGCAGCGCCAGATTATGAGAATTTATAAAGAGCCTCAAAATGCCTAAATGTTGTAAGATATGAAAACATCTGGTAATTTTCGAAGTTTTTACCCACAAATTTATACGCCAGAAAAAATGGCGCAGAGGGAAATAAGTGAAAGATAACGTACATTTATGTATCCAAGATGAGTAAGCTGAAAAGAATTAATCTAACAGAGCTGAAGAGTTTAACACTTGCGCAAATATTAGAGACAAATAAGAGATATATGGATATTTTTTGACAGAAAATTCCTAAATCACCTCTTTTTTTTCATTTGACTGGCTTCCGATTAGATTAACTTCTAATTAGTTATTGGAATGCGTTTAATTTGTTCATTTTTCGTAAAATTTTGCCCATCTAAATTAATGTAATTTTCCAGAAACAAAAGGGAACTATCTTTGATATTTTGATACTAGTTATTATTGGAAGGAAGGTTTTGAGACCTAAATTTAAATTTGTTAAAAGCTGTGCAATCGTGTGAGTGATGAATGACTGAGCATCAAAGTTTTGAAAAACGCTGTCTTAATCAAATTAAAGGGCAGTATATTGTATTATTTCAAGTGCAAAAGTGTGCTATAAGTGAAAAGTGAAATTCAATGAAATCTTAAATAGTGCACTTATCTCATTTTGAGTAGCGAATTATTTATAGCGTTGCAATCGTCTTTCTGTCTCTTAATTTTAAATGCTCATTTACAACCGTTTTTCATCTGAAACCTTGAAATTTGTTCTTTCAACGCCTACGACAGTACGTAAGAGTCGTGATCAAGAGCCTAAAATGAAGTATCAAATAGTCAAGCTTTAGTCATCATTATTCATCGGCGACTGTTCAAGTTATAATATCAAACTGTGCTCTGCGAAATACTGCCTTAATGAGCTATACTGTCACTGTTAGTGGGCGTGAATTTGAATTGGCTGTCAGCCAAGGCCATAAGATTTCAATTGGAGATATGTGACAGTTATTCTGATGGCGTTATGGCCGCCGAATAAGTTCTTCTCTACTTGTAACACAAGACAGGATACTCCAATATAGACGGAGACTTGCTGTCAACAAAATTTCCAAGTCCGTCCAGCATGCTGTACTGCTCAGCGGGCGAGATCACGACGATGCCTTTGGTCGTGAGGCACTGGGTGACATTTGTTCCATCGGGCCACTGAAGAACTTTGTCCGAGGTGAACGTCGCTGTCAGCCAAGCCCAAGCGGCCCAACTCTCTGTAGTCGTCGGAAGAAATGTTATTTATTATGCAGTTTTGTATTTTACCAGCGTGCCTAAATACCAACGTGCCCCATAATTCAATAATAACGAGATTGTTTATTTACATTATAAACTAATATTCAAGCTCTTGTTACCGAATATATAAGTATATATCCTAAATATTTAATCTTGAGTTGCGTATTAAAAGAGTTTCACGAGATTTGAATTGGAGAGAAAAACTATTTTTTTTATCGTTCATGTTTCAGTGTCAACTGATTTTCACTGTACTTCACATTCAAATAAATAATATGATAAACCCAGCGTGCATTGCACTTTTATGCTCTCCCATCCTTTGATAAATGTATTCACGAACTTTGTACGGCCTGTAGAGCTTTCTGGCGCTGCTCTTCAGTTTTGATGACAAGAGGCCGGCCGTTTTCATTCGTACAAATAGCATTCTGCTTATTGACATTCCTGGTTCTTGCGTTAGTAACGAAGATGTTCAAAGCAGCGACGCCAGTTGCACAGGGATCTGAGTTATGTGTGCCAAAAGGATTTAGGATGAATTTAAAAGAAGTTAAAGTATTTTTAATTGAAATGGTATCATGTTTGCAATGCAAGGCATGCTATTTGAAAAGAAAAACATGTACGTATGTGTTTGTTTTTAATTATGCTTGTAGAATTCTGAATTTTAAAAAAAATCTATGAAGCAGTAAACAGTTATATGAAAATGTTTTTATTTCCACTCCAGTGTTTTCCTCGCGAAACGAATGTATTTAAATGTCGAATTGTGATACATAACATGAAGCAGTAAATTACTTATTGAGCAGGTTTGTTTGTCTATTTAAGAAAAATAATAAAAACAATCAAGTTTTACCGAACTTGAAGAGCGTAATGGCGCCGGGCGCTGCCCTCGTCGTGACGTTTTCCGGCGCGAGGTTCGTCATGTTGCACAGCGACGTCGCAGCGTCGTACGTCGCGGCGCTGCA